TAACTTTCAGCACTTTGAAGTTATCAAATTTCAGCACTTTTTTTTTAAAGATCAATTTATTTATTTGTTTTTTATAAATTTATTTATTTATTTTTGGCGGCATTGGGTCTTCGTTGCTGCGCGTGGGCTTTCTCTAGTTGTGGTGAGCGGGGGCTACTCTTCGTTGCAGTCTGTGGGCTTCTCATTACGGTGGCTTCTCTTGTTGTGAAGCATGGGTTCTAGGCATGCAGGCTCAGTAGTTGTGGCTCGCGGACTCTAGAGTGCAGGCTTAGTATTTGTGGCACACAGGCTTAGTTGCTCTGTGGCATGTGGGATCTTCCCGGACCAGGGCTCAAACCCATGTACCCTGCATTGGCAGGCAGATTCTTTAACCACTGCACCACCAGGGAAGCCCCAAAGTTCAGCACTTTGAAGCTTTCATTCCATTGTCTTCTTTTTTAAAAAAAAAAAATTTATTTATTTATTTATTTGGCTGCGTCGGGTCTTCATTGTGGCGTGTGGGATCTTTTAGCTGTGGCATGGGATGTAGTTCCTTGACCAGGCCCCCTGCATTGGGAAGGCAGAGTCTTAGCCACTGGACCACAAGGGAAGTTCCCTCATTCCATTAACTCCTGGTGTCTGTTGTTTCTGTTGAGTAATCAGCTGATGGCTTTATTATTGCTCCTTTGCAAGCAACATACCTTTTCTCTGACTAATTTTTAAGTTTTTCCTCTTTGTATTTGGTTTTCAGCAGTTTTACTATGATGTGCCTAAGTGTGCTTTACTTTGAATTTTTGCTGCTTGGGGTTCACAGTACTTCTGGAATTGTTGGCTTGTTTTTTTTGTTTTTGTTTTTGCTAGGAGAAAAACAAACAATTTTAATAGCATGTATATCTCCTGCATTTATGGGAGATATCCAGGAAAACTGAGTAACTCCAGCCATCATCTTTTTAAATATTGCTTCTGTCCCATTCTCACACTTCTCCCTCTAGGACTCTAATTACACACATGTAAGACCTTTTGTAAATTGTATTCCGTATTTCACCTACTCTCTTTTGTATTTACATTTACCATCTTTTTGTGTCTCCAGGCCTTAGTGTACATATATTTGTTTGGGCCTATCCTCCAGTTGTTTAATTATATCTTGCACTATGTCTAATAAATTATTATTATTATTTTATTTTATTATTATTATTTTTTGCGGTACGCGGGCCTCTCACTGTTGTGGCCTCTCCTGTTGCGGAGCACAGGCTCTGGACGCGCAGGCTCAGCGGCCATGGCTCACCGGCCCAGCCGCTCCGCAGCATGTGGGATCTTCCCGGACCGGGGCACGAACCTGCGTCCCCTGCATCGGCAGGCAGACTCTCAACCACTGTGCTACCAGGGAAGCCCATAAATTACTATTTTTTTGTGTAATTTTTTAGTTCTAGAATTTTTGTGTCTTTTTTATATTTCAAGTTCTCCTAAACTGCTTAATTTTTTTCCTTTCATCTCCTTGAACAAAGTATGTTTTGTTTTGTTTTTTAATATTTATTTACTTATTTGGTTGCACTGGGTCTTAGTTGTGGCAGGTGGGCTACTTAGTTGCAGCTCGCTGGCTCCTTAGTTGCAGCAGGTGGGCTCCTTAGTTGTGGCATGTGAGCTTCTTATTTGCGGCACATGGGCTCCTTAGTTGTGGCATGCAAACTCTTAGTTGTAGCATGTGTGTGGGATCTAGTTCCCTGATGAGGGCCTCCTGCATTGAGAGCACAGAATCTTATCCACTGTGCCACCAGGGAAGTCCCAAAGTATTTTTTTTAAACTTAATTTCATTTTTATAAAGCAGGTTCTTATTAGTTATCTTAAAGTATGTTTTGTTTTAATGTCAGGGTGTGATAACTTCAATATTTAAAGCCCTTGTGGATATTTCAGTTGTTTCTGTTGTTTTCTAGTCATGTTGTCTAGTGTCCTAGTGTTCCTGAAAATCTTCAGTTGTGTGCCAAACATTGCATTTGCAAAATTGATTGTAGACATTTGGACCTTAGGACTTCCTCCAGGGAGGATTGATATTGCTTTTGCCAGGGACATGAGCACTCTAAGGTCACCTTGGCCTAATTGCAGAGCTGAGCTGAGAAACTCATGCTGAGTTTCTCCTTGCTTTTCAGGACCCAGCCCAAGTGAGTGGGAATCATCAGGGCTTGCCCACCTGCTGGCCTCTGGATGTAATTTCTGCCACCTGAGGCTTTCGGAAATGCTGCTCTCAGCTGCCCCTCTGAAATAGGCTAATGCCCCCAGGAGAAAAGGGGCTTCAGATGCCAGGCCCACCTCCATGGAAGTCTCTTCCCAGCCACACACTCCCCCCGCCCTCCCTGCATCCCAGCTTGGTGTGCTTTACTCTTGTTATTGCTTGCCAAAGCACACACACTGAAGTTTTAAAGAATATTTTCTTCTCAGCTTTACTTGTCCTTCAAAGTTAGTACGGTATAGTTGTTCCTAATGCTCTTGCATTTTTTTCTTTGTTTCTTGAATTTTATTTTGTTAATTTGTTGAGAATTTATTTTGAGAATTTTCAAATACATACAAAAGCAGAGAGAATAATAAATCCATATATCCATCACCTGCTCCCATAGTTATCAATACTCTAACATTAGTGTTCCACATACCTCCCACTACTTTTGTTTTCTGGATTATTTTAAAACCCATCCCAGGCATAAAAATTTCTCCTTAAATATTAGTTATCTGCAGAAGTGAGTCCTTTAAAAAGAAATATAATTATATATCAGGAACACACTTGGCACAATTAACAGCAGTTCATTAATAGCTTTCTGTACTAGTCTGTCTTCAGTTGCCCCCATTTGTTTCAAAAATGCCTTTTCAGGGCTTCCCTGGTGGCGCAGTGGTTGGGAGTCCGCCTGCCGATGCAGGGGACGCGGGTTCGTGCCCCGATCCGGGAAGATCCCACATGCCGCGGGGCGGCTGGGCCCATGAGCCATGGCCGCTGGGCCTGCGCATCCGGAGCCTGTGCTCCGCAACGGGAGAGGCCACAACAGTGAGGCCCGCGTACCGCCAAAAAAAAAAAAAAAAAAATGCCTTTTCACAGGTGGTTTGTTCAATTCAAACAGTTATTATCATTTTGGGAAGGGGGGCCGCACCATGAGGCTTGTGGGATCTTAGCTCCCTGACCAGGGATTGGACCCAGGCCTCGGCAGTGAGAGCGCCAAGTCCTAATCACTGGACCAACAGAGAATTCCCAGACAGTTATTATTTTTAAAATCTCTCTTGTGTCTATAGTTTACCCCTTTTCCTTCTGTATTTTTATCTTTTTGCGTCTTTTCTCCTTTTCTTGATTAGTCTTGCCAGAGGTCCACCAGCTTTGGTTCTGTTAATCTCTTATTTTCCACGGCTGCTATTCTCTTTTATTTTTGCAGTTATCTTTATTAATTCCTTCCTTATTTGGGGGGTTTGTTCTATTACATTTTTCCCATCTTCTTCAGTTTACTACCATCTCAGTATTAAAGCTATAATTTCCCTCTAAGAACCCTTTAGCTGTGTTTCACAAATTTTGACCAGTGGTATTTTTATTATCATTCAGTTTTACAGATTTCTTAATTTCCTCTATGATTTCTTATTTAAGCCACAGCTCTTTTGTTGCTGTAATATGTTAGTTTCCCAAGGTATGAGGGGTTTTTTTTAGGATTTTTTTCTTTAATTTTGTAGCGTGTGTCTTTTGTTACTGATTTATAACTTCATCCCATTGTGATTGAAGATACTTTGTATGATAACTGTCTTTTCAGATCTCTTGAGACTGGTTTCGTGGCCTCACATGTGGTCTGTCCTAGAGAACGTTCGATGTGCACTTTAGAAGATTGTGTGGCTTTGTAGCCTGAGATCTTGGTGTGTGTGATATCCGTCCTCCAGAGGCCCCCAGGGCTACTTCTCTGGCCCAGTATGGGGCTGGCTTTCATGCATGTTCTGTGTGTGTGCTAAGTTAGTGTTTGTTCGTTCTCGGTGTGCTGGGTGGGGCGCAGGCATGTTAATTGTGAGGTTTCCTTTTTGCAGCGTCCCCACCAACGTGGAGCCACCGGAACAGCTGGGCTCAACACTGAAGTTTCGCTCTAGCCTGGACAGCGACCCCATGTCTGGGTAAATAAAACCTGCAGTCTGGGTACATCTTCCTGGAAGAGGTGACAAGGGGGCTCAGGAGGGCTGTGGGGACTGGGATGGCACAGAGTCCTTGGCCTAGAGCCTCAGGGAAGCTGTCACCATATCTGACCTCCAGGACCTTTGATCCTTGTGTTGGGTGTCTTCATCATTGTGCCAGGGATGGGGGAGACTGTGGTTGGGGGTTCACGATGGAAAGGCCAGGTGTGGGTGTTCATATTGACCTAGGTGATGGTGTGGGCACAGGTGACCTATGGATGTAGGTGATGGGGATGATAGTGGCAAAAGGTGATAGTGATGCGGCAGTGGTGGCAGGGATGAGATGATGGGGGCTACAATGCTGAGTGTGTGGTGATGGTACAGTGGTGGTGCTGGGTGCAGTGGTGGTGGGGAGAGGCCCTGACAATAACCATGACCCACAAACCCTGACACAGAGACGGTGCATCATCAGTTATCCCAGCATCTTTACCCCACAATAATCACCCCATCACTCTGCACCCCGCACCACCATTGCCCGCATCACTGTCACCACTGCCACCATTACCCCAACACCAATACCCACCACCAGCATCCCTATCACATCTGGCTTCCTGGTCCGGGATAGGGTGATGGTAGATGATGGTGGGTGTGTGGTAATGGGGGAGTAGTGCGTGTTGATGGTGTAGAGGCTGATGGTAATGGGGGCTATGGTGGGGCTCTGTAATGGGGTGACAGGCAGGTGTATGATGGTAGGAGGTGATGGTGGTGATGGGGGACAGTGACAGGGAGATGTGATAAGGATGCTGGTGGTGGGTATTGGTGTTGGGGTAATGGTGGCAGTGGTGAAAGTGACAGGGGCAATGGTGGTGCAGGGTGCATAGTGATGGGGTGATTATTGTGTAGTAAAGATGCTGGAATAACTGATGATGCACAGTCTGTGTCAGGGTTTGTGGGTCATGGTTATTGTCAGGGCCTTCCCTTCAGGGGGCCGGGGAATACCCCAATTGCCCAAACTCCAGTCCCCTTGGCCAGGTTCCTGCGCTGTCTTGTTGCCACCGTGACGGGTGTTGTGATGCACATTTCACGTGGATGGAATGGGCGTGCAGCTGCTTGTGTGTTTTCCTGGCGGAGTCTGTTCCACGTGCCATCTGCCCTCTACCTCGGTGGATCTAGAAGCCCCTCTGAGAAGGTCCACCTAGGCCTGGTTGCCCCTTTGGAGGAAGAGACTTTGGGCTCTGGGCCTGTGTAGTGGGGTCCAGGTTCTTGCCCTGTCCCATCTTGCCCTGTGGGCCTGGGTGAGTGTGGGCCTCTTTGGCTGCAGAGGAATTGGGGCAGGGCTCCTGTGAGTGGGGGAGGGGAAGAGGTGCAGCTTTGCTCCTAGGCAACCGTGGCTGGGCCTCCTCCCTCTGTTCTGCCCGCTGATCCTGTTCCCTATGTTGGTCAGAGACTGAGACCTGGAAGCGCCACTCCCTCTACATGCAGGGAGCACCCCGTTGCTGAGGCCCGAGGCTGTGGGCTTTCAGTTGGCCCCACATGGGGGTCTGATGTCCAGTCAGTGTGGGCCTCGTCCTGGGCAGGCACCATGGAGGGCTCTGGGCAGTGTTGGGGTCTGAATGGTGTTTTAGGATGAAGACCACTCTGGCTGCTCCCCGGAGTATGTCAGCAGCTGGCGGGGAGCCTGGACCATGGCTTCCTGGTCCAGGTGTTGTAGGCCAGAGAGAGGCTGGGCTGGCGGGGTGAGGTGAGGTGCGGCTGCTTGCTAGGAAGGTTGCCAGGGAAGGGGCCGCGGTGTGGTGTCCTGCTCTCTGCCCTGCATGGGGAGATACAGGACAGAGGAGGAGTGGGTTTCGGATGAAGGGCTCGGATTTGGGTGGGATTGAGTGTGTTGAGGGTCAGCTGCATGAGGAGCTGGAGAGGGTTCAGAGAGGGGGAAGGAACGTGGAAGGTGGCCTGGTTTGTGAGTGAGTACTGAGCACTGTGTGAGAAAGGTGGGTTCCACACTACAGAACAAGGTCCCCCAGGAGGCAGAGGAGAAGTGGCTTCCCGGGGCCAGCTCAGGAGCATCTCCCCCCACCTCCTGCAGATGCGGAGGTGTGAGTGTCCTGCTGCCTCCCCACCAGGCCATCTTGCCCATCTGCTGGGAGTGCAGATGCTGCTCAGCCCCCTTGGGCCCCCACCCCATCCTGCCCCATATCTCCTCTGCTTCTGAGCAGAGCCCCAGCGTGGTGCACAGCACCTGCCTTACAAAGGTTTAGGGCTCCAGGAGTAGGTGCTGGGAGGGTGGAGGGATGGGGTCATCAGTGACACGTCTTCTGTGGATGCCCCCAGGTGATCGCCCCCCTGGGCCCCAAAGAGACATCCTCTCCTGTGAGCATTCGTGTGATGCCCCCTCGGCCAAGGGCACTGTTGTTTGTCCATTGGAGCGTTGGTTCCTTGGTGGGGTCCAGCCTTGGTTGGAAGCTCGGGGGACACTCGACAGGGGAAGGACCCTATGTGCTGAGGGGGCCTGTGCCAGCTCTGCCTCCCTCCCCACCTCCGACCCCTCCCGCTTCATTCTTGGACTTCACCCCCCTACCCCCGCTCTTCCTCTGGGTGACTCCTTGGGTTCTCCAAGAACGAGGCACCAGTTCATAGCACAGCGATGCAGATGAGACCACATCTGCCTGTCATGGCCTGGGCTCCATGCTCCCCATGGTGTGGCCATGTTACCTGTGGGTCTTCCACCCACTCTCCGCTTTGGCAGGTGACTCCTGTCCTGCCCTGTTGATGGTCAGTGGCTGGTTCTCTCCCCAGAGCTTCCTTGGTTCCCTGTCATGGTTCTTTTGGGTCCTGATTTCATTGTCCCTTCCTAGCTCCTTTCACTCACAGGATGATCAGGCAGGAATGGTGTGTCTTGAAGCACCCAAGTGGTGGAACTGCTGGCTCCAGGCTCCAGGCAGGTCACTGCTGACCCTCTGCGCTGACTCTGCTGTGATGGTGCAGGGGGAGGGCAGGGAGGTCCACTAGGTGAGGTGTGGGCATCGCCAACCTGTGTCAGTTCTCAGCCCTCACTGCGCTCCTTCCGCAGCTCTCTCACCCAGTGTGTCACGGCCGCGTGCTGCCTGGCCAGCGTCGCGGTGAGAGTGCTGGTGTCTCAGTTCCAGAGACGGCCCTCTCGGTGTCTGGACGTTGGAAGTCTTTGGCCTCCTAGGGACCGTCCCATTCAGCCCCGCTGCAAGCTCCTTGCCTGGGCTCTTGTTCCCCTGGCCTTCTGTCCCTTCCTGCCTAGGCCAACTCTGCCTTCTGAACTTGGCCTTTGGGCTCCTTGATCTGGGAGGTAGCCTCAGCCTTGGGAAGCCCCATTCCTTCCTCTCGGAGGTGTGGTTCCATTAGTGTCGTGGCCTGTTGTGGCCACAGGCCCCTGCCCCACTCTGCAACCACCCCTCAAATATTGCTGTTCCTCAGGGCAATGTGCCTTGCTGTCCTACTAGGTGCTGCCCATGGGGTCCCTGAGTGAATTTATTCATTTGTTAAATACTTATTGAGCACCTCCTGTATGTCCAGTCACTGGAGATACAGTGATGGTCCGGAGCTGGTGCAGTCTGTGCATCCATGAATCCACAGGCTGGAGGTAAGATGCACATTAGTCAAACGCTCACACAAAGGAGTGTGTGTTTATAAACTGAGGTAGACAAGAATTTGATTTGTAAGAGCACTTATCGAGGAGCCTTACCTCATCTGCATGGTCAGGGAAGGTGTCCCTGAGGAAGTGATGTTTTGAGCTGAGGTCTGAAAAGTGACCAAGAATTAATTGTGTAGGGGTGGGAGGAAGAGAAGAGCAGACGGGGCAGTTGGGTGGGAGGAAATGCGTGTGCAAAGGCCCTGAGGTAGGACACAGCATGGTGCTTTCAAAAGCTGAAAAGGAGGGTGATGTGGCTGGAGCACACAGGAGGGAGGCTGGGAGTCCCAGGCCACACAAGTTTTATCTTATTTAAACTTTTAATTAAGATTAACATTTGCCTATTGTAAGTGTTACTATCTGGTAAGACAAATCCTAGATTTTTTTCCTTTTATTATCAACTATTATATATGTATTTATATATGTATACACACACACACAGAGAAAAGTACAGATACACACACACATCACACGAAGTTTAACAAGTAAATTATAAAGCAAATTCCTGTGTGACCGCAGGAGCTACAGGAGCCATACTAGGCTTTCGAGCAGGAGTGACAAGATAAGACCTGACAGGGTGGCCAAGGGGACTTGGGGAGGCATCTGCATCTTCCTGGTGAGGCAGGTTCAGATTCAGGCAGGTTTGTGGCTTGGAGCATGTGCTGGTGGGAGAGGAGGAGCTGAGGGGACGGGCCGGCGGGCCCCCGGGTCTGCTGGTAGGCTTAGATGGCTGAAGGAGCCCATCGAGGGGACCGCTGGAACAGGGCTGGCCGGCTGAGCTGGGCGGAGCAGGAGCGTGGTTTGGGGACCCTAGGCGGGGCATGTCTTGGACCCCGTGGTAGTGCTGTCCTGGACAGTGGGGTGGAGAAGCTGGGCCTGGGCAGGCAGGGCTGAGGAGGCAGCTCCGGGAAGACAGCCGAGCACTTTCCTCCCCACTCCTGGCCCCAGTTTGGAGCGCAGCTGGGAGCAGCTGGGGCGCCCGCCAGCCGCACTGTGTCTTTAAGAGGCCCCGCATCTCTCCTTCCTGCCTCTGACGTCAGGGGTAGGGGAGGGCCGAGGAGATTTGCTTTACTTTTCCTGGAAAGGGGAGGAGATTGAAACCGAGTGGCCTCATGATGGAAAGGGGAAGTCCGGGGGTGCAGGAGGCCCCTAAGTGAAGGTGGAGGCTAACATGGGGTGAGCTTGGGCGCCATACTGTGTGTCAGAGACAGAGACAGAAGAGAGAGAAAGAGAGATTAGAGATCGGTGGTGGTGGCCCTACAGTTGAGTGCTATTGATTGCGTGTGAACGTGGGTGTGTGTCTACATCCCTGGGTCAGTGGAGGGTCTGGGAGGAGCCTGTGGGTGAGGAGCAGTGACAGGCTCCTCTGGTTCGGCAGGAAGGTACCTCCTGACGGTCCTGTCTTGGGGCCTTGTTCTGGGCCTCACAGTGGCCAATGGCTCCTATTTTATGAACGCGGTCAGGTATTTTGAGTCTGGAGTGTGAAGGGTCTGTCCTTAGTCTGTCCCAAAGCTGTGCACCGGGCCTTGCTGAGCTTGTGCTGCCCGTCTGGGCTGCGAGATGGAAGACCCTCCACCCAAGGCGGGGCGCAGGGGGGTGCCCAGCCTTCCCCCAGGCCTCAGGGGAGGCGAATGCCTAAAGCTCACCAAGCCCCTTCCACGTTTTGATGTGCTTGGTGCAGTTGCCTTTTACTGGCACACTGCTTGGCCTCGGGGAACAGGGGAGGACAGCTTGGGGCTGTGGCTGTGCCCTTGAAGGTCGGCTTTGGTGAACTTCCCACCACGGCCTGCGTTCTCGGGGGGCGGGCTCTCCACTTGGTCCTGGTCCTTGCTGAGGGGCCTGCGTGGGCAGGGAGGCGGCCTCTTCAGAAGGCAGGGCCCCTCCAGCCCCGCCTGGCTCTTACTTTACCCACCTGCCCTTCTGGTCAGAGCGAGGGTGTATGTGGACACCTGGCACAGTGCTTGGCACCCAGCAAGCTCACCGTCACTCCGGGGGCCAGCAGCCCTACCCTGGGCTCGCTGCGCGCCTCACTTCACTGTCCTGGCCACACCAGCCTCCCCTTTCCTGGAACTTCTCCCCGTTTTCGTTACCTGTGCTTCCTGAGTCATTTTCCCTTCAACACCTGCCTCCTCTAATAATCTGTGGGCTCCCAGAGGCCATGAGTTGGTCTGTCTTGCCCACCTCTGAGTTTTTGGTTCAAGCCACACAGTGCCTGGCTTGTGGCATGTACTCGATGGGCATCTGCCGCTGGCTCGGTGGGGATAGACAAGATGTGTGTATGGGGGAGGCACCTGAAGAACTCTCTCCCGTGCTCCTGAGGGTGTGGCCAGGGGCCCCCCGCTGGGTGACTCTCAGTCAACCCCATTTTACACTTGAGGAAACACCTGAGGCTGAAACAGGTTCAAGCTACATACCCCAGAGGTTGCTCTATCTGTGTTGCCCAGAGTCTCCTCTGGCAAGAGGGGTGCACCTTGGGCATGGGTGTGGTGTGGAATGCTGGTCCTAGGTAGGGGAGAGAGGCCCTGGGCCTTGACTGGCTTTTTGGCAGGTTTGGAACGACTGTGGCCGTCGGACTGACCATCTTTGTGCTCTCCGTTGTCACTATCATCATCTGCTTCACCTGCTCCTGCTGTTATTTGTACAAGATGTGCCGCCGACCGCGTCGTAAGCATCTCCAGCCCACCTGCCCCAGTGTGACCCCTTGTGTGAGGGTGCCGACCCCGGGTGGTGGGCGTGGTTTACCAGGGGCCTGACGGAGCTGAGCTGGAGGGAGGGGTGGCAGGCCTGAGGGTCCTAACTGGGACTCTCTTTTCAGCGGTCGTGACTACCACCACGGCCACCACAGTAGTGCACACCCCTTACTCGCAAGCTCCAAGTGTGCCGCCCAGCTACCCCGGACCAACGTACCAGGGCTACCACCCCATGCCCCCCCAGCCAGGGATGCCAGCAGCGCCGTACCCCACACAGTACCCACCACCCTACCTGGCCCAGCCCATGGGCCCCCCCGCCTACCATGAGACAGTGGCTGGTGAGTACCCCTACCGACTCCAACTGTGCCGGACCCCCTGCAGCCATGCCCACCGCCAACCAGTGTCCTCTCTATTTTCAGGAGGTGCAGCCATGCCCTACCCTGCAAGCCAGCCTCCTTACAATCCAGCCTACATGGACCCCCCGAAGGCGGCCCCCTGAGCACAACATTGCATCTCTGGCTGCCACTTGATCTGTCATGTGTGTGTGAATGGGTATGCAGGCACGGTCCTTTTCTCCCTGTGCGTGGTATGTGTGTCCTGTTTGTACATGAGGCTTCTTGTGATGCCAGTGAGGGGCTGGGAACAATTCTTGCCAGAGTTGCTGGGACCACACTCTGTTGCCTTCCTCACTCAAAATTATGCTTCCTGAAATCTCAAGCAAAATTCAAAGAACAGTTCTTTTCTAGACCACCCCAGGGAGAGCAAGTGGGGCTTGTCACACTAGGATAGTACAGACTTTTGCCGGCAGGATGCACACGTGTTCCAGTTTCTGCAGAATGGCTAGCCATTGCTCAAGGCCACGGCTTGTCCCCAGGCTTGTCTTTGAAGAACCCGAGGATGATGCAGGCAGGTGGGTGAGGCTTGGGAACTGGCTACAGGTGGGTCTCAACCCTTACCCATAGCTCCCTGAGCCTGTGCCATGCCCAGTGGAGGGTGGGCAGCCTCCTGATATCAAAACGCCTCAGGCAGAACCCCACCCTCCCCTGAGCGCTGTGTGCCTGGTCTGTGTTCTTGCATCCCTCCTGGGACCACCTGGAGGCCCACATTTACCCTCGGTCTGGCTGCCCTGGTTGGCTCTGGCCGCCACCTTAAGTGGGCAGGGTGGCCTCTGTCCACCTACACACTCAGGTGTCCTCCCTGCAGTGTTTTTGTTTTACTTTTAGCTAAGTATTTTGCCTGTTTTCTGTTTCAAAATGTGTGTAATAGTTGCTGTGAGGCTGAAACCCCTGGGTCCTGGAGGAAAATTGCCCCAGAGAGCAGAGGAACTCTGATGTCTGATAGTCCCTGCTTCCCCAGCGCCAGCCTCACAGGCTTTCCAGCTCCTGTACCCCAGGCCACAGTTTGTCTTGGCAGTGGGGACGCCTGGGCCAAGGTGTCGTCTGGACCAAAGGTGGAGGGGACCCTTGGTGGCTGCTCTTGGCCCAGACACATACCTCGCTGTTCCCTATCCCTCCGTTAACGTCTCACCACATAGTAGCTTTGTACCTGTTGATGTGTTTTGGAGTCTAGGGTCTGCACCCTTGTTTATAATAAATCCAACTATTTGGAGCTGCTGTCTCCTTCCTTGGCTGCTGGGATTGGGTTTTAGGCTAGGTATCATTTCCATCCAGTATTTGAAGTTCCTTGTTTTCCCTACTTTTATTGGGCTCAGACGTCTGACCATCCTGCTAGGGAGGGTGATGGACAAAGACTGCCACTTCCTGTGCCCCCGGCCCCAGGTGTCTCAGTGTGGGCAGAAGTGCGGGAGGCTCTCAGGCTGCCACGGTGGGTAGAAGTGAGTGATCACTCGGTGCTGTGGAGGGTCTTTATTAGTCAGAATTTTCTTCTTGGCCTACTGCCCGGGTATGGCCAAGGACAGCCTATACAGCGTGGCTACTGCCAAGGTCAGGAAGGCCAGCAGGCCCAGTGGGGCCAGCAGTCCCTCCCTGGGTGGGGCTCCAGGGCTCTTCACTGGGGAAAGGGGCTTAGGGTTCCTGTTTCCACCACCGTTGGGGCTGGTGCCCCTGGCTCTGGCCAGGGGTACCGTGGCCGTAGCAGCAGACGGCCTTGGGCTGGTTCCAGTCGAGGCTGTGACCACGTACATCGGCTTGACGGTGCTGAAGGGCCTGGCGTGAGCATCTACCCACCGCAGCAGGGCTCGTGGCCTCCACTGACAGATGCTGAGCAGGGCGAGGACGTCACCCTCGGCTGTGTGTGAGTCTGGTGGGGCCTGCCCGTACAGGCGCATGTAGATGCTGCCCAGGCTGTAGCTCTTCCTTGGGCCGTGCTCTGAGGGGCTGTCAGCTTGCTCCAGGGCCTTCAGGGCAGCAATGCTATCCACACAGAAGGCGCCCTCCAGAGCACTGGCAAGGCCCAGCACAGCCAGCTCTGCCTGGAGCAGGGGGAAGTCGTAGCGGTCACCGTTGTGTGCCACAAGGCACCAGGGCTGTGGTTGGCGCTGCAGGAAGGCTCGGAGCATGTTGGCCAGGTTGGCATCGAAGCATTGACGCCCGTGTGCAGCCAGCACAGGTGTGCTCAGGCCTGTGATCTCACTGGCTGCAGGGCTACAGGCCTTCCCCGGAGCCACGCACAGGGAGAGCTTGTCCAGCACCCGGGGTGGTGGGGGCACTGTTGAAGGAGGCCCCTGAGGGGTAGGAAGTCTCTCCAGGGCCCATCTGTGGATGGCCAGCAGGCAAAGCTCTGTGACCTTGGGCTGGGAGAAGGGCAGGCCAGTGGCCTCCAGGTCCAAGAAGATGAGGGTCTGCACAGGACCCGGGGGCAAGGCCTGCGAGCCCATGGTGGGTATCTGCCGCTGAGCCTGGGGAGGAGCATGGGGTGGGTGGTGGGTGTGTGAGTGCCCAGTGATAAGAGGTAAGGCAAGTGGGGTGGGGTGGGCAGGAGCACCCCTCTGGCCTTCCCTGCATGGGCAGGCACTGTTGCTGAGCTCCAGGACCCATTTCCAGGGCAGGAAGCCAGGGAGGGTGGGGTGGCTTTCTTAGTGGGACCAGCACACTGTTTTCTGTTCAGGGGAAGGCTTGGCTCCTCCCCCTAGTGCCCGCTTAGTCTGGTGAGGGTTGGTGGGGCAGGTACCCATGCCCTCCCACCCTACCCCCTCCCCTCGGGGGTCCTCACTTACCGAGTAGCAGGCAGGCAGCAATGACTCAGGGTGCTGCACGCTCTCCAGCTGGTTCTTGCTGCTGGCAGCAGTGGCGGGAAGTGAAACTCGGCCTGAGCCCGCCCAGCGGCTGGTGTGAGCAAGGCCCGCCCCGCTTGTCAGCCTGCCTGGGCTGTCCCTCCTGCCAACACCTGTCCCTCCCCAGGCACCCACAGTGCTATCCCCAAAGGCCTCCTCAGACCTCTCGCTGTGGGCCTGCTGGCTGGCACAATGCACCAGGGCCCTCACGCCCTCACACCGGGAGGACAGGGCTATGGGGCAGGCTAGCTCCAGGACTTGAGCCTGCTGGGAGCCCCTGCCGTGGCCATTTTGCACCCACCCCTTGGCCCCATTTTCCCAGGCCTCCCTGGTTTAGGCCTGGGCTGAGGGCCACCTTCTTCCCTGCCACACAATGGTTTCTTCCCATGGCCTCAGGCGAAAGTGATGACTCAGGACAATTCCACAGGCAGGGCAGGGCAAGGCAGGGCTCCTTCCTCAAAGCAGATTCATTACCGTGGGGCTGCTGGCCAGGAACAGGAAGAAGGATCTCAGCCTTCCCTGGGTCCTCCTCCTGCTCTGTCCCTCCCACTTAGCCGACACAGATCAGACTCAGGAAACATAAGGCTGGCCTTTTCTTTAACAGCCAGTCACTGCTTTTAATCAGGGGATGAGGTAAGGAAAGTGGTGGTGTTGGTGCCACCATGTGGCTCGATGCTCACAGGCCTCAGCCACAGTCCATCTCGGGGTCGTCCACATCAGCCTCCACGGCACAGAGATCATCCAGGGCTGCCTCTGAGCCAAAAACAAGAGGGTTCTGTGGTGAAGTCCTGCCTGAAGGTGCTGGGACTGGGGGAGGTCCCACCTCTCCTCCCCACCAGGCCCACAGGAACTAAGCAGTCCCTTCCACACCCAGGCCTTGCTCCCTCAGCTACTGCAAGCAAAATAATACAAAGGCAATTCAGACAGGGATGTTTCTGGAAAAACCGTGGCTCTGCCAGGCCGACTCAGTAGGTATGATCAAAAGGCAGGCTGATATGCTGAGAGAAGAACCGGACAGGGAAGAAAACAAAATGGCCCCCGTGCCGGCAAAGGCTGTGTGGATGGAGCACTGCTGACCTAAGGCCAGGTAGTCTGATTTGTCCATGAACTTCAGGGCAAACTCCACATGTGGGCTGGGGCAGGGAGGGGCCCTCCTGCAGGCTCACCTTCACAGCCTGTCACGTCAGGAAGCCCTCGAATCAGCATGCTGACCCCTGGCATCACCTGGTCGTACTGATGCAGGACCTCCACGCAGTGCACAGTGAAAAGCTTGTCCTTTTGGGACAGACTGTGCAGCAGCAGCACTGTATCTCGCAGACACCGCACCGTCCGCTTCTGCTGGTCAGTCCTCGGGGGCCCCCCTGCCCTCCGCACAGTCAGCCACTGTCTGTGCAGCATCACCGTGAGTGCTCTGACTACCTGAGGGAGGGCACAGGCTGAGGTCAGGTCAGGTGGTCCCTGCACCCTGACAACCTGCTTAGCTGGGCAGCATCTTTCCTAGCCACCCGGGTGAGGAAGGTTCTGAACAGTGGCACCAGGGTCTAGCCCTGGTGAAGGAGCATGGGATGCTTTCACGGGGCCCTGTCATTCACCAGCAGAGCTGCCCACTGTCGGCCCCTGCCTGCCCCCGGCACTCACCTCCACGTTGCACTGGCAGCTGGAACCAGTGACTGGGGAGGAGGGGCTCTGCACAGCAAGCTTAGCCAGGAGCCACACAGCCTAGAACAAGAACAGACTGTCCCATCCATGGCACAGTGAGGCCCTGGTCACAGGGAGGGCTTTCTCAGCCTTCTACAAGAGCTCCAGTTGCCTCAGCAACTGCTTGTCTGCACTAATGGGATCCAAGAGGTGGTAGTGTTTTGGGACCTTCCCAGGAGACACTCAGGACCAACACCTGTGTCTCACCACTGACCCACCTGCCTCCGTGCCCACCTCCAGCCACCAGGCAACTTTGCCAAGTCCCAGGATACCCTGGGCTCCGACTGTACTGTATCTGTGTAGTATGGAGCCCCCCAAATGAGTTTACCTTGCTAGTGGCTCAGCGTGTTACCAAAATGAATTAAAGCTTCCTTTAATTCCCAGAGGAAGGAGAAGAGTGGCTCTTACATGGGATGGAGTGGGGTGGGGTGGGGTGGGTTGGTGAGCAGCACAAAAGGGGCTCTGGTGTCTTTACCTCTTGTTCCAGCTGAAGCCACTGTGTCTCCGAGGCGGCTTTGTCAGGCCTCGATGTGATGTACATGTACAGCAGCAGCAGGAGGCAGCCTTCTGGAAAGGACACACCACCTCTCACTCAGGATCCGCCTTCTCACCCAGTGCCTGAGGTACAAGCTGCAGAAGCCCTCAGGAGGCCCTGGACCTGCCCCTGCCACCACCCTTCCCTCCAAGCTGCAGGAGTCCAGACGCACGCCCCTGGCCTGCTTTACCCGGGTGGGAGCAGAGCTGAGGTGCAAGCTTCTCATGGTCCACCAGGAGGGACAGGAGCTCAATAGTCAGCAGCACACTAGGCAGGGGTGTCTCTGGGCGCAGGCACTGTGGCAGCACCCGGAACACACACTGGAACCTGAAACACAGGGCCCCAGAGAGATGTGACGCCTCCAACCCAATCCCATAACTCACCCTCACCTTTCACGATAGGCAACAGGAAATTGAAGAGGCCAGTAAAAAGGAGACTCGATTCAGACAGACCTGAGTTCAAATGCCACCCTACTTGCTGATACTTGTTTCAGGTGAACGAGTGGGTACTACCCTTCACTGTGGGACTGCTGTGAGGGACAGGGCCTGTCATCCCTTAGAGATGACAGGCCCTTACCTGGCACAGTGCCACCCAGCAAATACGAGGTGCCCCCCTGGACCTCGGGTGCCGGCCTCTGCACTACTCTTGGGCTCCTTCCTGCCTCTGCTCCCAAACAGGGAGGCAGGTTCAACTTGAGTGTGAGAGAAACGTCCTGTGCCCACCACCAGAGGACTGGCCAGGCATCAGCAGCAACAATGTGGACTTGGCTATGGTTGGATCTTACGAGACCACTCGCTGGGCAAGGAAGACTTCATTTTCCCCACTTGTCGGGAAACACCAGCTCCTCTGCTGCCACGTATGAGAAGGTACACACTCAGGGTGTGCATGGTGAGGGGCTTGGGCACTCTCCCCCTGGTCTTGGGGGCAAAGGGATGGCGCATTCATTACCAAGGAACCGAGTCCAAAGACAAGCACTGCTTTTTGCTCAACCCACACAGCCTCGTGGGTGGGGGGAGGGGCAGTTCTGCGGGTATGTCCCTTTTCATGCGCAAGGCACCAAGGGTTAAGAATATTCCTTGTACACCATTAGGAAGCAAGGTCTTTTTGGGGCGAACTCATTTTAGAGCAAATCCTGTATGAGAG